TATCTATCTATCTATCTATCTATCTATCTATCTATCTATCTATCTATCTATCTATCTATCTATCTATCTATCTATCTATCTATCTATCTATCTACGAATTATTTAAAAAAGACTTAGCGAGAGTTTTGCTATATCAGATTTGTAAACTAAATTAATATTCAAAATAATGCTAAAAATGAATTGGATAATTTTTTCTCTGTAAAAAAGAAACTACTTATAATGTTTCCTAGTTATAAAAACTCCCTGCTGAAGGGACAAAATCTTATTTATCACTATGTTGAATGACATGTGATATGCATGTGTTCATGTCTACTGTGGACAATTCTTTGAGAAGACCATTAGGGGCCCCCAACACCACAATGCTTGTTGTATACTGAAAGGCTTGGGTGGCAGTATAACGCCAGGGCCCTTGCTGAGACACCAGCTGTTGTGGTTGGGGGTTGGAGGCTGGAGGTTAAGGCAAGGCATGTGATATATGGAAAAAGTTAAACGACATACCGTGAATACAACAATACAGCGTCATTTGGACTAGGAAAACTCATTCCTGAATTCAAATTACTTAATCTAATTGTACATCAGTCTCACTTTTATCACTTTAGTTATTAGTGTTAAATGAAACAACCTGGATAATACTTTAAGCTGTTTTACTCTGCACTAAAATGAATAGCTTATAAGAAAAATGCATTTTCTGCACTTATGACTGCATTTTATTTGGAATTCCCATACCTCAGTAATGAAATGTAGCTATACCACCCCTATTCCCACACAGCAGCTTTTATTTTCCCATTTTCAGTTTAATGTATACATTCACCCTGTAAAATTATGCAAAATATGCAGTAATATCACATTGTGTGGGTTAGGTAATGACCCAAAGTGCAGACAGGATTGTGGGATTTTATTGTTTTGATGATGAAATAGAAACTTTATAAAAACCAATAAAGAGTCAAGATGATGTGGAGCATGAGCAGATAAACAGGAGCGACAGAGGAAAAACCGGTAACAGGAAAAGAGAAGGTAACGAGGCCCAGTGGTGGGATCAAAGCCACCAGTGAACTTAAATACTTAGAGACGTGAGGAGAATGACATTGGAAGATAGTGTGATAATCACAGGATTAGGGGAGCAGCTGGGGCAGAAGGTAAGTGGGAGGCTGAAGAAAAAGAACTAATTAAAACCCATGAAATTAAGTTATACATAAGAAAACGCTTCATCAAAAAGAGAAATGAAGTAGAATGAAGAGGAAACCCAACACAACTGATAAGTAAGAGATTTAACTGACTTAACCATTAAAGTAACAGATAAAGAAAATAATTAACATCAATGTAATGAAAAGACAGACCAAATAAAAATCCAAATACCTAATGATGATGAAAACACTCAAAGGGAGGAATATTCAACCACCCTTGAGATTTCTAGTTAGAATAACTAACATGCAAAATTTCCAGCAAAAAAATTTGCTAAATGAAGGTTACATCTAGTTATGGTATAACTAACCATGAACTGATCCTTATTATGTCATCAATTTTCATACATCTTTATGCTTATGCTGAATTCATGCAAAATGTCTTTGAATATGATCTCTACAAGATGCATTCCCAGAAAAAAAAATTAATGGTTGAAAATTGCAGATATTTTGTAGAAGTTGTTGTTTTTATTCTCTATTTATCCTGAAGAGAAAGGATTCTTTAAATGCACTTTCCTTAATGGCATAAATATGTAGGTGTGTTTACTCTAAATCTATTACAACTACCCTAATACTCAGAGCGGCGAATCTTATAAGAGAGCGCTTGGCATCTTAGAATGATGCCAGGCTCTCTCCTTCCTACATTATTAAATGACTATGGCATGTGGATTTACAGCAGGTTTTAGAGACGCCATCCTTTGTCATACATCATCCTCTACATCCGACTAATTCACTTATTACACAGGGGAAAAGATTAATATGAGAGGCCACACATCCAACAATCAATTCAGAAGATGAACAGTTTGCATGATTTATTTCTTTAAAATACATTTTGTATGTAAGCAGAAGGACTATCTTGAAACAGTTGCAAAGAAAGTTTCAGTCCCTTATAAAGATTTTCATACCCCTTCAAATTTTTCACAAAATAGCTGTAATTACAATGTTAAAAAATACTTTGAGAGTTTTGCTTTTGTTCTGTTTTTTGTACCAATGAGGTCACTTCTCAAGGTAGTTGGTTGCAGAGGATTCCATTTAGGGTTATTAGAATTTAATAATTTTCTGTAAACATTTAGAAGTTCGGAATGATGCACAGCTTTGTGTTTGTGTCATAATAGATCCAATTTTAATCATATTGAAGCATTCAACTTTATTTTAACATAATACAAAAGCTAAAAAGTTTAAGGGGTGTAATTACTTTGCACTTGGTTGTTTTTTGATCTAAAGTTCTTGATGTTTGACAAAAGTTTTGCTGGGAAAATTACTACTTTACA